TTTTCTAGAAAGTGAAACAAGCAAATGTTTAGCAGCAACTCAGAGGGTTGTAATAGTCACCTGATAGAGGCAATTCAGATTCCTTTCCACTTCTGCGTGGGAATACATAAAATGCTGAATATCACCTAGCCAGAGCTGTACACTTGCTATACATCTGTTTACAGCTTTAACTCACCAACTGAAAATGGTAACCATACCCTGCCCAAGGACATACAAGACAACCAATGAAAACTTCAGTAATCTCCGACACTTCACACACTGCTTGCAAAGAAGTCTGGAAAAACAGAGGCATTTTACTGTGTTTTGATGTTGTAATTTAGCTGCTTGATGAATGGAATTTAGAGTTTCTTTCTGAACAGCTACCTTTCAAATTTCAGAAATACAGCGTGAAGTGCTTTCAGTGGTATTTATTACAGAGAGACTACTAGTATCCTATTTGAGGCTGTCTATAAACAAATTGTAAAAACAGTTCAAAAACATTAATCAGCTTAAAAACATTAATTTCTGCATACATTTTTCAAAGTAAGTTAAATCCTATTAGGAGAACACAGTTTTTAAAATATGGCTTGAGCTAATTTTAAAGATGGTTGGAAAAGTTTGGCCTACACTGATTAAAATCTATACTTAAATGAAAGGAAAATTTAACCACAAAAACTTTGCTCATTTTAGAAAAACAAGCATATCACTGCCAAAGTGCAGTCCTAAGTTTAGATTGCTGTCTGACTAAAACATTATAATTATGAGAAACTGAAATGGATTTCTAAATGTTTCAAGATGAAACAGACATTGGGTAATTTGCAAGATATGCAATTATCTTCTGAATTCAAACACAATGCTAATACTCGATCTGAACAAATGCAGACTGTTTATGTGAAGACTGACGAAATCAATGTTAAACATCAATACCAACACCAGATAGGAGTAACCATAATGAAATCTAAGAGCAAAATTACCAAGTGATGTGGAATTAATTACTTCAAGAATTTTCTTTGAGGAGAAGAAAAAAAAAAGCCTTGGAATCTCTCTCTGCTCTTCTGTCTCCAAGAGCTGCTCAAGCTGAACAGAGGGTCCTCAGCCCTTTTATCCCTGTTAAAATTGCATCAGGATGAACTGCATCCAAGCTCTCACGTGTAGCAAGACAGCAATATTTTTACCTTTAAACACCAGAGAGGGTCTTCAAATAGATTCAAAGGGTCATAGAACATATGTTCTATTACTTCATAATTAACATTCATATCTTCATGGGATCTTTATCATACTTGACCATGCAAAAGTTAAAAGGAAACAATAATTAAATATAATCACATGCTCACCCAGATCTGTTTGACCATTTCATGTATAACCATTGTAAATTCCAGTTACTTTGAAAACTAAGTTAAATCTTGATCTGCAACAATCATTAACAGTTTGATGGAATTAGCAGGATTGCAAGAAATTCAAAGTAACTCCATTCTTGTTTCAAAATCATGATGGCACATACTTGTCAGTACCTGCACTGCCTTTGATTGTCTATCTTTGATTTAGGAAGAAAAATTAAAGATTTGGTTGTGTTCTATTTTTGGGTCTCCTGTGAAAGCCTGAGTGTTCAGTTATCTTTTGACTCTTCTGACTACAGCCCAGTCTGTTGTTTCACTGATCTGGTGAAAGGAGTACAAAACAATCTGTCATTTATATATGAAAACACACAGGAACTGTGAGGCGCATGTCTGGGGACACAGCAGTTCACAGAACCACCATCATTCAAAGAGTAATTTTATAATGGACCAGAGAAACTCTTCAGCAAAAATTAATTCTCTTTCTACCAGCAGTGTGAGGTGATCCACATAACTGCTTCATACAGACTCATGAGGCAGTCTTCATTTAGCCTTCATGGCACCTCTGGAGCTGCCATCAAAGGAGAAGAGCAAATAGAGATCAATTTCTCTCAAAACTAAGAGATGCTGGATGCCTTAAAAACAATAAAACCATCGTAAGCTCAATGAAAAAGCACCTGAGATTAAGAAGTACCTTTCAGAAACACTGTAATGAAAGTAATACCTGCTCCCTTGATACCTAAAATAACATCAACAGCAGGTTTTACACCAAAGGATGCCTGAAACAAGTTCCTCAAGAGTCAGGGGAGTTTTAGTATCATACAAGCAAAATCTTGGAAAAGCAAGGTGAAAAAAGCAAGGGGAAACCACCTTAAGCCTACTATCAGATTAAAGGCAAATTAATTTCCTCAAACTCATGAAAGGATAGTGTGTGAAGCTACTAATTTTGCATTGGTAAGTAAAAACTCTCCCAGTTTTGACTCTCCCAGCATACAAGAACTCTAATACAAACAAATGTAATTACGTAAATTAAATTGATTGTATCAAAACAAGGTCAAGTTCACAAGTAAACTAGGTCAGCCAACAGAAAAAAAATAGGAAAATGAAGAGACATTTTGGGTATGTTTGAAGAATTCTGCTATCATAGCTCTATCACATCTCACTGTGCCCTGCTATAGCAAAAAATTGGACAATTCACAATGCAGAATTGTCTTTCACGAGCAATTTACTTGTTAAGCAAAGGCAACAAGTAGTGAAATCAAACTGTGAGCTTTTGCTCACAGTCAGCAGGGACCTGTTCCAAAAATTCAACTCTCCAAAGGTTCCATCTCCCCCTCTCTTAGCCCTAAGTGCTGACCAAGCACCACACACACACGGCACAAACAAGCCAGCTCTCCTCCGGCCAGTGCCAAGAATACATTTAACCAGACTGTGGAGCTCAGTGCCTCATGTCTGTGTGTTCCCAGCACCACGACCTGAAGAAACAAGGGAACAAGGAAGGGACAGCCTTGAACAAGACTGTAAGTGGAGAAGAGGAGAACGAAATAAGGAAAGAAGGACAGAGGAAAACACAATTATTTGTAAATAATGATGAGTTAGGAAGAAAGCATAAATTGAGACAAAGACTCTGCACATCCCAAGAAGCTGGAAGAAGCAGCCAGCAAAAGTAAAAAAAAAAGGTGCTTTGGCAAAGCAGTTGGGAGGAGTAAGGGGTAGCAGCACACTGAAGGATGGGACAAGTGACAGGAAAGAAAAGACACACATGAGACTGTCCAAACAAAAATTAAGAGAAGGAAACTCTATGGGGAAAACTCTTGGACAGAATTAGGTAGAAAGCCAGCAGAAGAACAAGAGGATTTGCACCCATGGCAGTTCACATTAAGAATCTAAGAATTAAAAATCTGGCTTTACTAAAAATAGCTGCTGAAGGAGCAGAGACTCTGCAGGAACAGATGAAACACATAAGAATTTCCCATATGAGCAGCTGGAGAAAGGGTTATGTGATCCAGCAAATCCTAACACCACTAAAACCCCAGGGGGGTGTGAAGATGACACCTTATTTCGCTTCCAATCTTCTTTCCAGACTGCTTTTGTGGGGAAGGCGGGCAACACCATGAAAGCAAAACTCATTGAGACTGAGGAGCTGGACCATACCAGAATCAAGGTCTCCCTGAGGAATCTCAGTCTGGTTTTCACAGTAGAGTATAAAATTATCTTTCCTTCAAGATTCTGCCTCACTGAGTACACATGGTGGACCAGCCTCTGAGGACTAAATAAAGGTTTGCAAGTGACTTCCCTCTTTCAGCACAGAAACACTTTGGCAAGCAGTGAATGGAGCAAAAACGCTTGGAAGATGAGAAAGTTCCTTCACAGGCTTATACTCACTTCAGTCTTACCACATACTCCTTACACATGGCTGACTTTTCTTTTTTTAAAACTGAAACTTTTCAGAAGTTTGAGGTGTAGTTCTGATTTCTGAATGACCACTCTGAGATTTGGTTTCTCATGTGAGGTACAGTTTCACATTATGGTTGACCCGCAGCTGGGTTACATTAGCACAGAAGGAAAAACAGCTTTCATTCATATCAGAGCAAGCACTCACTGGAATAACTTCCATCCCCATAAAACTGTTAGATCAACTGTCCCTGAAATCATTCAACCACTAAATCCACTACAAAGAGAGTAACAAAAACCCATGGCCAGCCATGGAAAAGAGTGAGACCACACTCTTCAGCTGCAGCCCACACACTGACCAAATATGAATTCACACTGGTAAAGGGCACCTTGATTTCCTGAGGTACAGCTTCCACTGCAGCTCTGCATTCAGACTATGAGCTAACACTGTAAAACATGACTGCAAAGTCAACCAACTCATTTTAGATTTCTGTGTTCAATTTAATACATATTTTGGTGCTTTTTGTAATCCTAGTTTCCCCATTTGTTAAGTAAGAAGCAGGATGGAGGGGACCCATCTATTAATCTCTGTTTTACAGGGGAAGAAGCTCATGCTTGAGAAACATAAGAAGGCCACCATGCTATCTACAACTGGAAAGTCCAATGGTCCAAAAGCAGAGGCTGGGTTGTGCCTTGGACAGAACACACAGCTGCTATGAAGTACATGAGATATGGTGATGCTTTCAATCAGTAAGTAAAATACACTACCCATTAGTGTAGCTCACTCCATGCACTAAAAAAGTAGAGATTAAAGAAGTCCAGTGACCAAGAACTGTATTTCAATGAATACACAGAAGCACCAGTGTGAAGCTGGACGCCCAGTTTAACTCCAGCATTTATTTTTAGTCTGCAGCTTCTTTCAGCCACAGCTATGTGCTGAGCAGCCCGGCTGTGCAAAGCTACGAGCCTTGTTGCAGCACTCACCCTGCACAAGAGGCCATTCGGGTCAAAGTTTAGCTTTGCCAGAGGGCACTTCCAGCCCAGACGGCAGCACACACGCCAGTACTAACGGGAAAAGTGACAACAGGCACAATAACCAAGGAAAACCACCCAGTTACAGCTGGAAAAAAACCTGACTGGCTTCTGTGTATGTACAAGAGAAACAAGACACTCAGTTTGTTCCCCAAAAGGAAAGATACTAAGGATGACATTATAACAACAGGCCTCCGGTTATTTATTCCTCCAAGTGCAACAAAAACAGCAGCAGTGAAACCGAGGTTTCGGGTACCGTACACGTCTCACACACACGGAACGCCTCCGCAGACAAGCTCAAGCGCTCTCCTCCATCGCCGCGGCTCCCGGCCGTCCTACAGCGCGGCAACCATGCCTGGGGACAAACGGGAGGCGGCTGAGAGCCCGGCGGGCGAGAACGACCCGGCGAGGCCAGGGGAGCTGCGGAGCCCCGCCAGCACCGCGGCCCGGCCTCCCCTCCGTCCGCCCCTCCCTCACCTGGGACGGGGCAGCGCCGCGGCGGGAGGCGCTCAGGGAGCCGCCGCGCCGCCGCCGCCGCCACCCGTGGGCGCCAGGGCCGCCGCCATGTTCCCGCGGCCTCTGACCCCGCTCACTTCCGGTCACGGTTGTCACGCCGTTGCCATGGCAGCGCTCCCGGCCGGGCCCCCTTAAAGGGACCGCGCGGGCCGGGGCCTCGGGGCCTGCGGGCGCCGCGCAGGGAAAGCGGGCGGCGCAACTCGGGAATTAGCGCAAAAGGGACAGTGGCTCATCCCCCCCACAGCGCTGCACGAAGGGGAAAACCGTGCTACTGTTCAGCTGCGGAATTTGTCATAAAATAGCCTGTGCGGTGGGAGAGTAGTGGAAAACGACCGTGGCATAATTTCCACTGCTGTGAGGAGATGGTTTGTCTTAACTTTCCCCGAAACGGTTTTATTGCACCGCCTTTGCCACCGCTCACTGTTGATGGAGTTAACCTCTTTGCACTCTTTCCACATGTATGTTTTTATAAGGTAAACAAACCTGGTGAAACCCCCAGTCCAAGAATGGAAACTCCAGGAGGTTTTAAATAAAGTTTTATGTTTGTGTGAATCCAAAGTGAGTCCATGCCCGGCTGACAAGAGCTGCTGGATGAAGACCAAAGCAACCTGGGCGCTCTTTCTGATTCCACATGTCTGTAGATGAACATGTTCCTCTGCAAAACTCCTGCAAAGTACAAATGCCAGGGCAAAACCTGATCCCATATCCACTTCGGCATATATCCCCCCATAGCCATTCCTCCTCTGAGATCCTTCTTTCCCACTGCAGCTACATTGCCTCATCTGATATGCCTACAGTGATCCAGTGAGAATTTGTTGCCTTAGAGAGTACCTTTGTGGACTTGAGAATCAGTCATCAATTTGGTCAATACTTGAAATTAAAAAAAAAAAAAAAAAAAAAAAAAAAAAAAAAAAAAAAAAAAAAAAGGAATGAGCCTTTGGGGAATTTCTTCCTAAAAGTCATAAAAATGTTGGAAATTCGAAATTCTCCTGTCATATCTTTTTGAGGGCTCTCATTTGTTCATTCAGCCTGGAGGAGTAGGAGCTGAGGGGAGGAATTAGCTGTTGTCTACAACTGGTGGAAGGTAATTAAGAGATTATCACCAGACTCTTCTCCGAGGTGCACAGCAGGCAGATGAGAGGCATTGGTCCCACGATGCAGCAGGAGAAATCCCAACTAGTTAATAGGAAGGAATTCTTCAACATTAGAGCAGTCAAGCACTGGAATGGGCTTCCCAAAGACCTTGTGCAATCTCAAACCCAGAATGGACCGGGTCTTAATGCAAAATTAACAATACCATCTGAAATCCTTTGAAATGCTTTAGCTGAAGAGATCAAGGCAACTGTGTTGGCACGCTCTGCCTCTTGTGTCAGGAGGCTCTCTGTTGTGTGATTCACCTCAGTTGACTTGTGCTAACCAGGAAACAGGCATTTAGTCAGACTTAGTCACCAAGATTCCCTCCTCTAGGCAGCTCCAAAAAGAGCTCCATTCTATCCCAAACTGGATGCCTAAAACAGCCCAGCACATGGGGAGCTGAAATGGCTCACTTTGAGGTCACTCTGGCTGATGACATGGTTAAAGCCAGGCGAAATGAGTCCTCACTGGTGCCTCCTGAAAATAAGGACAAGAGCAAGGCAAACTGCTGAATTTTAAATAGCAATAACTTAGCATGAAAGACATAGCATCAGCAGAATGTCCCCAAGCGTAACATGTGCCATGGGCTGTCAGCCATGGACTTGTGGTCAGACTCCTGGGCAGCCTCAAAACTTCAAACAGAAACAGGGCAGTGATGGCATCTGCAATATCTGCAAAAATTCCAGTCCAACCCTGTAATGCTAAATGGAAAGCTGTCCCAAAATTTTTATGCTGCTGTAGTCTAGGAAGGTGAGAGGGGTGAAAATGCAGTCATGGGTACGTGTGGCTTTTGGTATTTGTACCGTAGGGCAGTCATGGCTCTCTCATTAGTTTGATAAACTGGGCAAAAATGCATATGGCTAATTGCCTGTTGGGTTGAGGCTCTCTGCATGGAAGAAATACATGCTAAAATGGGCTAATAAAATACTGGGAAAAATTTTATAAGTAGCTAAGTAAGGAGCTTTGGCACTCCGTGCACCAAAATGTAGACCAGAATCTTACTGCAGCGCACTCTCCGCCACTTCCAGGGTGACCCTGGATAAATCATCTCACTTTCCTATCAGAGTAGTAAGAATAATGACATTTTCTCCTTGCTGAGAGTGCTGTCAGGAGATGATAATCAAAGCTTGTAATTTGATTAGGAAATGTGAAACATTATACAGCACTCCTTTCAATGCCAACACCTCACTTTATAAACTTTCGGTTAAAATATTTTATACTTAAAACTGTGGAGAAAATTGGTAACACAAACAATAATGAGCAATGGTGTTCCTGTTTTCCTTAAGAACCCCAGAACAATTTTGTACCATTTGGAGATAAATCTCTTTGTCTATCACATTGACATGCAGGCAGCTGAAGAAGGACATGACATCTTGTCAAGCCTTCACCATAGCACTCTAGTAGAAAATACAAAGGCAAATTTAATTTTCAGTTGCAACTACACAGGCAAAGTAGATAAGCACCTTGTGCTTTACACACAGACACTGAAAGCTGAACTTGTGTGAAGTGAGTTAGTGTAGGCATTTTGTTAGAAAGCAAAAAGTCTGCTCAAGAAAAATACAGGCATTCATAATGCCCCTACAGTTTTTGTGAAAGTGGAAAGTACAATTTCTACAGCCAAAGACAACAGTGAGGGGAAGAAAAGAATGTTCAGTATTCAGCAAAAAGGAAGAATCCGGCTGACTGGAAATGTATGTGCATTTCAGAAGGCTTTGTTAAAATAATATTAAGGTACTGGCTTTACATCCACAAAAAGAATGCCATTTGGTGCCGAAGTCAAGCTTTCCACGTGTTTGAAATAAAAAAATATAGATTTAATTTAGCCACAAAACAATTCCTGTGGGGAGAGCTGGAAGCAGCAAACTCTGATTCCCAACAGACATGCTTCCCTGTGCCCCTCAGCCCACCTCCATCCCCACTGCATTAATTTTGTCTCCTTCCCACCCCGTGGACAGCATCCTTGCAAAGCAAGAAGCAGTAGGTGCAGGTGGGCCAGCGAGTACCAGCTGCCAAGAGAAACAATAATGTTTGCTCAGTCAGGGCATGAATTTAGTTCTCACTCCTCTATCATAATGTCTGCATTAACAGATCTTGTAAGAGCATGATTATTTCTGAGAATTCTGCCTTTCTGCACTTCCATCAAATTTAAGCAAAATTCATCAAGAAGGTTCAAAAGCTCTTGGAAAGGGATTTGCAGCCAGACTGAAAACATGGCCACATAAGCAAAGTTCATGTGAAAAAACAGACTGAAAAACTAGAAAGTTGCCCACAGTGGGGAGAAAAAACCTCACAACAATTAACATCCTTTTGCAATGGGGTGAAATTGAAAATTATCGAGTCCTTCAAGTTGTATTAGCACCTGAGAAACAGAAAGGGAAAACAGAAAATTATACAAGCTACTATCTGTCCACTGACAGGACCTGCAAACATATGGCGCAAAGAATTTAAGGCCTTCATAGGAACACAAGAGAAAGGAATTTTTTTTATTATATCTGGGATTAGCTTTACTAAACATTTTTTTGGCTATATGATTTGTAGTGGGACCCCTCCATTCATCTTGTGTTAGCTCAGCTGGATGACAAGTGGCATCACGGAGCTCATAACAAGTCTCCAAGAGGGGACACAGAGAGGAGGGAAATCATTTGAAACCAGTGTTACTAACAAGAGCAGTATGCCTAAAACATTTGGGGTTTTAATCACTATTGCTTAGCTCCGTGTTTTATTTGCAGACGAAGTCCCCTTGGGGCCTGTATCTGAGCTGAGGGAATGATAGACCATGTGGCACTCAAAGGGAAGAAAAGATAAACAATATGGAAAATATCATTAGGCAGCCAGTCACGCCTCTCTATAACTGCCAAAGAACAGCAGAAAGATAACTCATGTTCTCCTGTTCCTTGGAAAAGCCTCAGTCACTTGAATAAAGAGACTTTCTAGGAGCTCTTGGTGAGAAATGGCCTAGGCTGTGCTTGCATCAAATGGTTTTCAAATTGAGTCTCACAAGCTACTTATGAATCTGCAGTTTACATGGCTATTTCCACTTCCTAAATCTCATCAGCATGTGTTAATTGCTTTCCTAATGGTCCTATACCATGTAAACAGTTGCAAAATTAGCCCCAGAGATAGTATTAAATGATAAATTCGATGAGTGGAAGAAGAGGAAGAGGAAAGGATTGCATGAGAGAAAGTGAAAGATGAGAAGGGGCCATTAAATGCCCGAGGTGGGAGGTCATGAGGTGCATTCCCCAAAGCCCTGTGCCCCAGAGAGCAGTGCAGATGTGATCCTCAGGGCCCCCACTGCCCTTACTCCAAGGGCACCTTGGGATGGCTCTGCCCTCACGCCCATGCTCTCCCCTAACAGACCTCGTGTAGCTCATTTACTGAAACGGCCATGTTCCACATCCACCTGGGTTTTTCCTCTCTCCTGGGTTTTCTGAGCAAATTTCACTGCCTGTGAGAAGAGCTAAGTTACTTGATGTCTGGATAATTCACCGTCTCACCTCCATTTGCCTACTTTTCTGGAGGGTTTGAGAGAAGGATATGACAAGCCCACATAAGGATTTTCACCTCTCCATCTGCTTGCAAAGAAAATCAGATATCTGAGCCCACATACCCTCCTAGGTGTGGAAATTTGCTAACTGTTCATAACATGCCTAAGCTGCACTTGTTAATTTTTCTTCCAGAAACAGCAGAAGTGGAGAAGGGGCCTTAACTCGAAGGGTATCAGCACAGCAGTGAATAGAGATTACCGTCACCAAATCAAAACAGGGGAGGCAGTGACAGCATGGAAAGCCTGAACTGATTTAAGCTGGTATAATATTTCT